GCTGGGATTACAGGCACGCACCACCATGCCCAGCTAATTTTTTGTAGTTTTTAGTAGAGATGGGGTTTCACCATGTTGACCAGGACGGTCTCGATCTCTTGACCTCGTGATCCACCCGCCTCGGCCTCCCAAAGTGCTGGGATTACAGGCTTGAGCCACCGCGCCCGGCCCTAGGCTATTTTTCTTAATGTTAAATATAATTCTGAATGAACTTAAAATGACGGAGAATGAATAGTGACCTAGAAATTCTGAACTTATGGTGGCTTTGTCACAAAAAGATACAAGAACAAAAAAATTGATGAAAACAGTTTCGAGCTAAAGACATAAAAATGAATCCGCTGTGGGGTAAACTATCAAATCATATCATTTATAGTAGTTAACAAAGGGAATAGCTCTTTCATACACTGTGAGACCCTAAACTATTTAAAAAGAAACATTTAGGATATAAAAAGTGCTACTGGTTTCTAAGGTGCTCTTGGATATCTCTAACAAATGTCCTTAAGTAATTGACTAATCTGTCTTCAGGTGCCCTTATAGGACTTCCATGATGCAGTCATTCACGTAAGACAGGGATGTCTTAGTAGCAAGAATGACAATGTGATGTGTCTTTTTGTTAACCTCTGTGCATGGCTTGAATTGATTCTTTGTGTGTGGCCAGAGGGGAGAGGGGGTGATACCTTGGCAGGATCCTGAAATGGATAGGATAATGTTTTTAAACTTAATGGGAGCGAGAAATGAAAACAACTAACCAGAATATAAGGCAATCTAAAGTGCTAAATAGACTCAAGCAGGTTCTATGGAGGAGGAAGAAGTGATTAATTCTGATGGAGAGGCTGAGGAAGCAGGTGTCTAAGGAAAGGTGTTACCAAGAAGGTGGCAATTGAACTAGGCTTTGAAGGATTTAGGGAGAGAATGCTAGGGAAAATACTCCAGGGTGAGAAAACGAGTGAGAAGAGGTGTGAAACAGGGCCACTTCAGAGAAACAGTGGGTAATCAGATTTGACTGGAGGGAACGTACGTTTCATGGATATAAGCCTAGAAAAAGAACCTTGAAATCATAGAAGGCCTGAATGTCATGCTGAGGAATCTGAACTTGTTCAGAAGGCAGAGAGCAGCCATTGAGAAATTTTAGACTAGGGATGCAATCCAGCTGTGTGTGTGTGTGTGTGTGTGTGTGTGTGTGTGTGTGTGTTTGGGGAGGGGGGATGGCAGGTGTTAATTATAAGTGGTTTCAGTATGAAGATGAAGTAGAAGATTGGTCAAGTCTGTTGCCATATTCCAGGCCAGAGAGACTAAAGGTCTAAATTGTAGCTGGGACAGAAATTAAACGTAGAGTATTGGCATCTATGAAAGGATAGGGAATAGACAGTAGTACATTTCCTAATAGGTACTAGTAACTTTTCATAAGTCATTCATCAATATTGATTCCTTACATTGTACTGTATTACAGTGTATAGGGATGAGGCAGAAAAATGTCCCTGAGCTCTGAATACTTAAAATGTTAACAAATAGGCATTAAATTACTGCATCATAATTTTAGAAATAGTCGTTAATGGTGAGGAACTATAAAGGACTATGTAAAAAGAATATTATTTGAAAAATATGTCTTATAGTAGATCTTACCAAAATAACCTGGAGTTAATAAACACTTGGAAATCAATGAAAGATATCCAATGCAATTAATGCAGAGAAGATATCCAAATGCCAGTTTTAGGGTAGTATGGCATATTTTATGGAGTGTCCAAACCTCAGATGTCTGCACATTTTACGTTATCGTAAGGTTGCATCTTTATAAACTTTTATGCTAATTTCTTCAGGGATAATAAAGCATATTATGCTCTAAAGCCCCAACAGTATTTGTATATTTGCATATGGATACAACATTCGAGAGGGAAAATAAGCATTTTTAAAAACCAGAATTTACCTATATTTCCAGTGACCAGTTCTTAAAGACCTATCACAGATAGTTTGTTCAGTAAGACCTAAGGGAGAAAATATTCTTAGACTATTTCATGCTGTTAAATCTCTACAGATTTACAGTTTTATCCAGTCAAATTAATGCAAAACCCCAATGCAAGCATTTGGATTTTGAAAACTTTGGAGGAGTGTCATTCTCTAATAGTAATTATTGGTTTTACATTATTTTTTCACAGGGGAACTGATCACAGCTGCATATGAGCTTGGAGTAAGTATTAGTTTTATTGTTTAATCAATGCTCTCATTAACAGTTTTAGGAATTAAGAAAGTTTAATTAAGCATGGAGTAAAGTAGATTAATTTATTTTCAAACCCTGATTTTTAGTAACTTATAAGTACAGTACGTGACAATTTACTTTAAGTTTTAAATCCAATTAAACTAAATTATAAAGCAAAGCCTTTACTATATATACAGTAGCTGCCTTATTATCACCCCAAATTTTGTATAAGCTGTGGAGAATAAAATAAATCGGGTTAACAGTTTTAATAAGTTTATTATTTAATAAACTTTATTATGGTGCATGATCCCTTTAGGCAAGACCTTAGGACTGTCAGCGTGGTGGTAATCCGATAGCAGTGTGGTCTTTCAACTTTCTAACCAATATGATATTTCAGAACCTGCTTTTTTTCAATAGCCTTTTAAATGACCCTAATGTACTGTGAACCCAGAGAACAAACTGCTTAAGAACCGACAATGAAATATGTCGCCCTTTCTCAGGGTGGCGCACCATGTGATACACGCTGCCAAATCCACTAAAGAAAATATTTATTTGTATTGCCACAAGAGGATTACAATAGAAAACCACTATTCATACGTTTAGTCATTGGTGCATAATCTTCAGAGTTGCCTGAGAAAAGGGCTACTTTTCAATTAAAGTCTGTGTGACTCTTCCTCTCCTCGATGAAAACCTAACTGTTGCTAATTTTTCCATAGGTTGCCCATCCTCCTGGCTATCCTTTGTTCACGCTGGTGGCTAAACTGGCAATTACACTGTTCCCTTTTGGTTCAATTGCCTACCGCGTTAATCTTCTCTGTGGCTTATTTGGAGCAGTAGCTGCATCGTTACTTTTTTTCACCGTTGTCAGGTAAAGTAGTTGATTAGTTAAAATTAATTTTCAGCAGTTGGAGATGTAGATTTCTTATGGCTCAAATACATACATTTAAAAAAAAATCTTTTGCTTGGTTTCCCTAACATGTGATTTCACTTTCTTAATTTATAATAATTTCATATGCATTTGACCCCTCAAATGATTACACATTTGGCTCTGTTTTGTACAATGGAGTGAAGGTGTCACCAGTTCATTATCACAATTCTCTGGTTAGGCAGAACTAATAAGGTTTGTCATTTTACGAAGATGCAGATGGACGAGTTTACCTCAACAATGTGAGGTTCATCTTTTGGTAAATGGTAAATATCATTTAATTACTCAGAGTATTGCTGATGGGCAGCTGCTTGTCAGGTCCAGGGCTAATATCTAATTATGTTGTATTCTAAATATGAACATGTTGTATACTTTTGAAATAAGGCTATTAACTAAGGAAATCAATTTGGGATGTGGTTTTAGTAAGGTTTGACTCCACTCCATTATTGCTCTAGGGAAGGCAGGCAAATTAGATCTCAAGTACTTCATTGATAGAAGGCTTTCTTAGTTTGGAAGGCTACCCTGCTTTTAAAACACTGGTCATTAATTTAGAATGTTGGTAACTCATTTGTCTTTGATGTTTCTGTCGCCTTCACTCTTAACTCAGTGTATCCTATGCTTAAGAGGATTATAGTGAAAAATACAAATTACGCTTTCTGCAAAAGGAAAAACCAAATTAAAACACTTCTAAAAGCTTTTGCAAGTCTTACAAAACAAATGGTTTCTATATGTAAATATAATTTGAATAGGCAAATTTCAAATGTTATTTTTGAAGACTAATATTTTTGTGTTAAAGTTATAATACTGCCCTTTAGCTAAATTCTAAATTCTCTTTTAATTATTTATAGAAAGATAACAGTATAACTATAACTCTGAAGTTTACTTTTAATCTGCGAAAAAACTTTCATATTCAGTTATTATAACTATTGCTCTTTTCTAGAATTTTTATGTTATTAAATTTGTTGTTACTTTAGTCTTACAGGTTTACAGTAATAGCCAAATCTTTAAGTATGAAATACTTAAAATAATGTCTTTGCTTAGATTCATTAATGCCATGAATATTTTTCTGTTTCTCAATGGTTCAAATAATTTCCATTAGAATTGTTTTTTTTTTTGAGTCTTTTGTGATTAAGAATCTGTCAGTATTTCCACTGAGAAAAAAACTGTTGTTTTTAAATATCTAGATTGAACAGGAACTTCCTTGTTCTGTAATGAATTAGTACATTATTAATTTTCACAAGATACTTTAGAACAAACACATTTAAAGAAAACTATTTATTTTGATAGTCTGTATTTTAGATCATTTATGTAACATATGCATATATTTAAATATTATGTAGCTATAAATAGCCCTTTGTGCATGTAAAGGGATTCATTTTCTAAAACTTTTCCGTGTTTTTCAACATATTAATTGTTGATGCCATTCCACATGAGAACCACTGTAAAAATCATAAATAAAAATCTTAAAAAAAAATTTACAGAATCCATATAGCTCTGGATAGTACTTTTGAGTTATCTATTTAAAAATAGCTTTTATTATTATGATTGATTATAATGGGTTTAGATTAGCACACTAGCCTGTAACACTTTTCGTTTAATATACGTGGCTAATGATATACTGTATACTTGCTGACATGTGGTTTAAATCCAAACTCTTAATATGAGTAAATTAGGTGTTCGAGTGGTTTTAATAATATAGTATATGCTTTGGAAAAGTTGCTTTCTTTCAGTAAAGGGATCTAACAATATTATCTTAATATAATTTTAATATGAAAATACTTCATTATTTTGAATACAAATAATTGACAAGGTACACGTCCTTTGGGAATAACCTAGTTCAAGTGGCAAATCTGTTTTGTCAAACAATAGACACCCTTCAAAAAGGAGAAGCCATCTCTATGGTAATAGGACTAACAGTAGCCTATTGATTGAGTGGAAGAAGACATTATACAATGTCAGCTGGCTTGTTACAATTTCATTTGTTGTATGACCTGAACTTAACCTTTAAAACCTTTCTTCTGTGACTATAAACCCAACAGCAGGACACAGTTTCTGTACAACCATTGCAGTGATGGCTTTTTTCCTGTCCCAGCATACAGCAAATGTGTTTCTTTGCAGGTTGACTCCCTTATCAGAATTTGTTTAGGAGACATTTCACTACTTTATTCATTTACAAACCAAATCATCATTCCATTTTGTTGTTGAATATTGAAGGGTTTTGATCCAGGAAACAGTTTTATTCTTTTTTTCCCCCATCACTTAAGAGACCATTACTGTACATGTAGGATTAGGGCTGACTGGTGTGCAGTAAATTAATTCTTTTAACAGGTTTAGGTTTTTTTCAGGTAATTGTTCACATAGCATTCACTATATTTAGCTCTTGGGGTGGACATAAAGACCTTCTGTACCTTTTAAACAAAGATTTTATTTCAAAAGCAAATTTCTGTTTAAATGTGTTGATGTAAAAAGCTCCATTTTTTTCAGTAAACATGACTTAGATTGAAAGACCAATTTATTCGTTGTTTCCAATTACTATGTAATTTTTGCTTTTCTTGCATCTTTCTCTTGCTTTTAAAAGCTGTAAGATGTCATTAACACTGCATTTTTTGTCAATCTTCCCTAATGGTTGGTAAGAACTCATTTATATTTGCTTTTCTCTAATGTAGAAAGCATATGAGTAAAACAGCACATTGAAAGCCGTATGTGTCACTGTAGTTTATTAAATTAAAAATAGTAAGATTGTGGCAGTTGTTTCTGTATGTATTTATTTATGTATTGTCCCCATCAGGAGTATTTTTAAGCATGCATTATGTTAAGGGAGTTTAGTACATTTCATTTATATGAAATAGTATTCATTTTATTAATGTGTACATCTGTGTTTCTAAGACTATGTAATATAGTTAGTGATTTCTGGAAACTGGGGTTTTCTTCATTAGGGCTATTAAAGTAAATGATTTTTAGATTTGATAGTATAATATTTAAAATGTCCTATTCTATTGGAAATTCACAAATCTTGTTAATATAAAATTTTAAAGTTATAAATAATATAAACCATTAACATGAACACCATTTAACATTGTTTAATGCTTGAATTTCAAAATGGTTGTCTAGGAAATAACAAAGTAAATCTTAATTACTGAATAAAGAAGGAGTACTGAATTCACTATCATTAAATATCTGTATTCTCATTCTTCATACGTTCTGGTATCACTAAAAGAGAAGAGAGCATGTTGATAGCGTTGTCTACAAATTCTTTACCTTAGGGAAGATTTAAATTGCTTATGATATCAGAGGAGGCTATATGTTGTGTCATTTATTTTGATAGTTACAGTGCGGGGGATGTATTCTCAACAGACCTGACAGTCAGCCTAGCCTTTTCAAACTATTAGGGGCCAAATGGAACTAATAAAATAATTCATTCCACATTATTTGTTGAACACTCATGTGAATTGAAAGTAAAGCTCTTAGTTTTTATAATCAGAATTCAGTGCTTATTTAAAAGAAAGTAATACAAAGTCACTAACCATTAAATAGGCAGTTTTTCACATATTTTTTTAAAAGATATGGTTTCAGGAAACTCACATAAAATTACTTTCCAACATAATTAATATTGTACAGTAAGACATCAGATCTCTTAATGTCAAGTGGATTACCTAAAATATTGGACTATTAATAATAGTGAAGGTATATTGAAACTATGGTTACCACAAAGAACGTGTGATCAATTTCAGTAATCCTTTAATATCTCTGGCAGATTGTTTTGTGCCAGCATTTAATTCATGGACTTTGTAATTTTATAATTTATATATTTTTAAACATTATGTTGCTGCTAAAAATTAATTTGATTAAACTTTTGAAAGGCAAAGACTTGATTCTGAGCACTGTGTCTGCTATTCTTATAGCTTCAGCTAAGATTCCATTCAATAAAGAGTAGAAAATTAAAATGCCATACCTTAGAGAATGCAGAATCTCCTGCTTAAGGGACATTTGGATTTTCCAGCTCAGAGAGTATTTTAGATTATTGCCATAGAGAATAATGTGAAGCTCTTCCTAATTTCAGAAGTAACTATGCGTAAGTAACAAATAGTCACCAAGTTTTTGTAGTGGAAGAAGAATGGAAAGTACTGGAGCATTAATTTCCATTCAGTAGAATATCTGTCCTGATCCCTGGTTAATTGATCATATATTTCTCTCGTACTTGTATTAAAATTGCATTGACTTAGACTGCTTAAGCATATTAAGAGCTTGGTTCATTTGCATTTTCTTATAAGTAGAGGGACATATTAGGCTCAAATAGTAGCGCTTCATTTTAAAGGGAAAAAAGCATAGCAAAAACTCTTTTTTAAGACTGTAGAGTCTTTTCTGACAGCTAGCCAGAGTTAGAATTAGTTCAAGGAAATGTTAATAATGCACTGCCTGGCCTAATCCCTTTGATATCACCAGGTATCCTCCTGTTCATGGGTTAATTGCTTTAAAAGCGAAGGCAATATTCTGAGCGGTGGGCCGCTTCACCTTTTCACAGCTGTTACCATTGAGTGACAACTAAATCCCATGTGTAAGATGAGGAAGAGCTCAATCTCCAATTGGGAGAAAATTTATGTAAACCACAATCCCTTCAGAATGTGCGGAAGTCATAGACTTTCTTGATTTACTCTGCTTTTCCCAGAAAGCTCTATTGTTCACTTTCCTAAGTCCCATCAACCCTTTGTAGCAGAATATCACAGCGGCAGCAGATAGCTTGAAATATATAAATGCTATCATAGCTCTGATTAATAGCAGTGCTTATGAGTCAAGTCTGATAACAGTGCAGCTCTCCACTCAATTTCAGATACTGCTAATGGAATCTGTCTTCTCCAATTGTAATATGAGAAGGCCTAATTTGCCATGGAGCTTGGAGCTGTCACCAGTAGGGGATTGTGGGGTCAGATGGGAGCTGCCAGGTT